ATTTACATTATCATTAGCAATATGACCAATTTTGCCATATCACATTATTTATGAATATTGATTTATGAAACTAATGGCTAACCTCTCTTTGATTGTGATCTTAGCAGCTTAAGCTTATAATTAATAAATCAATTGGCTAAATAATTTTCAAAACCTTGTTTACAATGACTTTTTGATTTAACAAAAAGGGGGAGAAGAATAAGTGCTAAATGTTTTACATAATAAATTGAAGTGGTGTTAAAGTAAGGGGGAGTAATTTCAAAACTTGATTTCAAAAATCTTAAAATTACTAAAATGTTTTGTTATATCAAAAAGGGGGAGATTGTTGAAACATTTTAATATTTCGATATAACAAATTAAGTTAAATGAATTTTAAGATTTTCCAAATGATTTTCTAAGTATATTCGATATAACTATTCGAATATCAAAACTTACTCCAAATATTTCAAAAATCATTTTGATCCTTACTTAAGTGTAAAATTAAGTTTTAATCATAAAACAATTTCAAAATATTTTACAAAGTATTTCGAACCAATTCAAAGCCAAAAATTCCAGAATACTCAGAGGGAACCGATTCCCCCCATAGGAGGAACCGATTCCCCCCTGAATGGTTTGGCTCCGAGATTTCCAGAATGCTCGGAGGGAACCGATTCCCCCCAAGGGGGTACCGATTCCCCCTTGTTCAACGGTCGAAATATTTGAATTTTACACTTAGGGAACCGATTCCCTATGAGAGGGAACCGATTCCCCCCACTGTCCAAGCTGTTTTATTAAATGTTTTCACACTAAAACGGCTATAATATCTTCTCTAATTATCCCCAACGTTCAGAAGTGATCCAAGGTGTATTTAAGCAAGCTTAGAAGCCATTGATCAACAACAAGAAACATCAAGCAACTAGAATCAAGAGAGAATCAAAGAGAAAGCATCAAACCTCAAGTTTGAGCATTTCAAGCCCATTTTCATTCAATATTCATTTTGCTTTCAAGAACACTTTTTGTGCTCAGTTGTATTCATCTTTGAGTGTTCTTTTCTTTGTTCTAGAATTGTGCAAACATCTTACCTTGTGAGGTTTTCTTGTAAGTTTGCAAATTTGTAATCTTCTCTTTGAGAAAAGAGTGTTCTCAAGAGTTGGGGTATACTCTTGAGGGAATTGTAAGGTTATCTCTTTGGCCTCAAAAGAAAGAACAAATTAGTGAATTTGTTGGAAAATCCTTAGTGTGGATAGCTAAGGTAGTGGACGTAGACTTTGTTTGAGAAAGTCGAACCACTGTAAATCGCTGTGCAATTACTTTCAATTTTCTGCAAAAGCTTCCACAAAATTTTTATTGCCAATTCACCCCCTCTTGGCCAATTTCGTCATTCGATTAACTCAACACTATGGAATGACACCTCTTGCATATATACATTTGCATTGCACATTTTGTATTCCCATTTCTGTATTTTTGCTTTTGTATGTGGTTTTCGCATCTATACATTCACATATATACGTCATACATTGCATTTACTTTTTGCATTGCATTTTATTCATTAATAGTAATATTGTTTTCACATTATTAATAAAATATTAATAAAAGAATATTGTGGTAGAATTCCTGAAAGCCAATTGAAGTTACTCGGGGGCGTGACTATAGAAAGATCGAAAATGATGAATAAAATATTAGCACATGTTAGTAGGGTCAAGAGAATCCAGGACCAACTTACAAAGACTCGACAAGAAATGTTTAATGAAGTAAGAAAGTTCCAAGTTGAGTCCAAGGAACATATGTCCAAGTTGATGAGCATGATGATTATAATAATATATGGAGCAAATTTGTTAGAGGATCATATTATGCAAGAAAAGATAAAGACTTCAAGTGAAAATCTGAATGTCAGTAGTGGAGCCGAAATGCCAGTGACAGGTGATCAAGGACCTGTTAAGGAGCAGTATATCTCAAGCCAACTCCAAAAATTAGATATGGTCATAGAAGGTCCCACTAGACCAATAATGAATGAAAAAGTGATGAGAGATAAAGGTTTCCTTGTGAGAGATAAGCTTTACTCAAAGAAGAGGGGAATAGAAGAGGGCCAAATGTTGATCAAGAAAGCTAAGAATGATCAATCTCTCATGATTAAATGTTCTAACCCTTCTCAATCATCCAGTCAAGATAACCAAGTTTTATCTATAAAGTCATCACTAAGTAGTCTCTCGTCAGGGGATTAGATGAGAAGAAAAAGAAAGTGTAAGATTTTTAGATCCCTACCTTCCACTTTTCATGTTAAAAATTGAATTAAAAAATGCTCACAGTCAGATTGATTACACCGCAATATGTCCACAGTGGCCTCCGAATGAGAAGTGGACCTATAAGGAGGTTCCTTGGATAAACCAGATTATAACCCCAGATTGTTCAACTAAGGTTCCTAACAACCTTGATAGAAAGTTCCAGGATCCATTACAGCAAGCTATTCAAAGGTGTAAGATAGAAGAGAAATGTGTTAAGGTTCAATGCTCGAAAATCGTTGCCTCAACAGAGATTAATATAGTCAAATCTTGTGAAAAACATAGGGTGCAAGAGGATGGGAAAGGAAATCCAAGCAAAAGGGCTCCCATGGATGTAATCCGAGACTGGCCCATAGGTTTAAGAATGAATTAGGTAGATACAACCCTAAAGCACCTCAAACACCTATATCAGATTTCCTGAGGGCAAGTGGGGCTTTGGATAGTTTAGAGAGCCTGACGAATACTACGAAAATCATAGCTACAATATGCGTTCAAAACCAGGCCAAAACTATCATCACCAAGGAGAATAGTTTTTATCTAAACTTGGGCCCAATTTCCAACCAGGGAAGAAAAGCTGATGGATAACAAGGAAGTGGAATTTTACCAAGAAGTTGTTGAGGAGGTAGTAGATATTTATGCATATGAGGGTTCGTCCAAAGGATCCTTGATAAGAGAAATAATCAAGAAATGGGAGCAAGTGAGGGTAAAAACCTAATCCAATTAGACACTCGCCATTCTAAGAGAAATAGGGCATTCTGACTGAACAAGTGAAGGTCGTGCTCCACCACAGTCGCACTTTATGTTTGCAGCATCTTGTTTGAACTTGTTTTTTTTTGGACTTTCTCATCTTTCTTTTTGTAAGGATATTTAAATGTATCTATTCTACTTTAAAGAAAGTAAGTATTAAATCAAACTTGCAACTTGAAATTCTTTGAATATCAACTGAATTAAAAACTCTTTAAATGATTAGAGTTATAAATCTTTGACAAAGTGAAAAGATTGAAAACTGATAAAACAAGGGACCATGGACCATACCCCAGAAAATACACTCGAACACCATACCCTTCTCTTGTTAGAACCAAGCTAGCCTTCTCTCTCAAGAGGAAATAATTAAGGGCTTGACATTCAAGTATGTAATGATGTGGGCAAAATAGGGCATCTTGCACATAAGATCGTAAAGTTGATTGGTTTCTAATTTTGTTGATGACGTTCAATGATGATCATATCTTCACAGATGTAATAATCAAGTAGGTGAATCTAGTTTAGGTCAATTGCTTAGAAATTGAACTCTAAATATGATATTTTTTTACTTTCAACAACACACCTAGACTATAACAGGTTCTTCTTGACAAACTTAAGAAATTGAATTCGTATACCCATAATGTAATTATATATGTATACAATAAAGCTTGAGCTATCCCTCTAGAGCAATTGGTTAACACACCGACTTTATAGATAAGATTCAACTAGCCCGATAAAGGCGATTATAATATATATATATACGCAAACACACACACACACACTAAAGCTGAATTCAGCTAACCAAACAATAGCAAATTAAATCAAATTTATCTAAATAAGGAGTTTCGGTAAAGATGGACTAAGGGAGTTAAGGAACACCCGTTATAGTCAATTTTATACGAGTACTCAGGAATTTTATTTTTAGACCGATATTTCTGCGCTGTCTTTGTTAGAGGAGTCTACAAAGCTTGAACAAATGAAAGATCTTAGAGAACTGAAATGAAAGTGTTCCAAAAAGTCTAGAATTGAATATGCTAGTTGCTTTATTTTGTCTGTATCTACTTAATATGCCAAGCCAAGAAAAAAGGACATGCCACAAGGTTCACATGGGCATATAAACAAATGAGGATGTTTCAATGGCTGAAACCTTAGAAAATAAGAAAGCCAACCCATTAATTTTGATACTTGTCAAAGAGCTTCTCCGAAAGCATTAAAAGTTGTTGATTCTTTTGATATTCTGTGAACTCATGTTTATTATTTGATTCAATTATTAGCCTGAATTAAGGGGTAATACTTTAAAAAATTCTTATATTCTTTGATTTCTAAAATAAAAGAAAGAAGAAAAACATTTTATGTATAGTCAAGCAAAAAGAACAGTCATGCAATATAAAAACCAAAGAGTATTCATCATCAGCATTTTATGTATTAAGCATCTCTTCATGCATGCCTTTCTCTCATTTTGTCTGCTCAGTCAGTTGTCTTTTTTAACACCAAAAATACCTCTATTCATCCCCCTTTGTTTCTCTCTTTCAAACTTCAAGACAAACAGTAATTATATAAGATGAAGCAGCCCCCCTTTATCTGTATTTCACGCCAAATTTTTATACCGTCTCCCATGAAACACTCTTTTCTAATCAACCCAACCATGTTTACTCTTTTCTCCACTGACATTTCATTTTCTTCTCTCTTTTTGTTGTTGTTATACAAGTTAGTATGTAAAACATACTAAAAAATATGAAAAAAAAGACAAAGAACAAAAGAAATTGAACAGGCGGCACATTTTGCTCCTCAGCGCCTTGTTGCGCTTCATTGAAATCGCCTCACCTAGACCCAATTAGGCGCTTCACCCTCGCCTTGCCTTAGCGCCTAGGCGCGCCTCAGCTACGCCTTTTTAAACACTGGCATGAATGATGGTTTCTTTAACGAAACTAATGTTTAAGCTGTCTCTCTTTGCAGGAAATGTACTACTCATCAAAAAGGCAGCAGTTTCTAATTGATCAAGGTTATAGCTTTAAGGTATATCATTTAATACTTTGTCTACTCCGTTGTAATACAAACTAAGCATATGCTACTTGTGAAAATGGCTAATTTGTAGCGCTGCTGTACTTGTGTGTGAACTGGCAAAATTTAAAAGCAAGTACTTGTATGGTGAATATTTCCGACAGGTGATAACAAGCTTGCCTCCTGACGCTGGTGATGACTTGAGTTATTACTATCGTGAAGAGCAGTTGGCTCTTCTAGGAAAGGTGCTTGTTTTCCTCATAAATATTAAAACTTGAGAGATTTCCAAAACTTGTACTCACTGAAAAATTTTACAAATCAGGTCTTGACTGCCGGTGACGACGCAGTTGGTTTGGAGCAGTTATAAGAAGACAGAGATGATAATAGCCATTCATAAAGCTCGTCGCTCTGTGGGATCCATGAGTACAATGTCGGGGGCAAATGGAATGGTCTACATGGAATACAGGTATAAATAATGTCTCCATTTCTTTTTCGTGCTGGCCTGTAAGCCGAGTAAAGAGAAAAGCCCGTATTCTGTGGTCTATTATAAGCCTTTTAACAATCATATCAAACTATTAAACGTACTTATATCAATGTTTTCCATTTGCAGCACTGGAAAACATAAGCTTGGGCATGGCCAGAAGAGTAAGCCAAAGGACCCGTCCAAGAGGTATCATCTGTTTAAGAAACGCTTTGGTTGAGTTGAAAACCAAACCATACAGTCATGCTGTGGTCGAGATGAAATCGAGAAGACAAGTATTACCAAACCGTACAGTCATGCTGTGGTTGAGATGAAATCGAGAAGACAAGTATTTATTTTTGACAAATAAAAAACTTGCAAGTATAGAATTCCTATTATTATGTCTTCAGGCACGTCTTTCTACTGCCCAAAACATATGAGCTTTGTTGTTTCCGAAATTTCTACATTTTGTATAATTTTGCACTTTGGGAATATACTTCAAGTGAGGCTGTCAAAAAACAGCGGTTCAATCTGAAATATGGACTCAAAATATTCTTTTTAGGTCCATTAACTGATGTTCATTAAAGTTTTGTTTGTAGTACATAAGGATTGTTAGACTATAAGATCGAGTCAGCTGTAATTAGTTAGGTTGTTAATAGTTGGTTATGTGTTTGGGTTATATAAACCCAGTACTTAGGCAAGGACAATGAACTGTAATTCATTTTTCCAAATATACGGTTAATATTTCTTCCCTTTCTATTTCCACTTTAGCAAAACCTAAATTCCTAATTACATATCAATCGTTCATCACCTTCACACTACACAGGCCACCATGCCTCCTTTCTCACATGGTATCATTCGCTGATGATCCTGTAGCTATCTTTCTTCCGCATGCGTTTGTCGTTTTCTTCTCAACTGTCGTTCAGTCACCAAATTCAATACCACCGTGTTTTTTTTCTTAGCTTCCTCAGTCATGGATCCAAAACTGCTGCATGTACTCGGTCCCAGATTTGACAGCTACGATGAAGTTCTGTTCTCCGTTCCCATCATCGTTTTTTCTTTTTCGCAGCTGCCGCTGTTACCAGTTATAGACTGAGAAGAACCGTGAAATCACCGGCCTTGATTGCTTCATTTGATGTCGTTGCATGTGATTCATCATCGCCGTCGCCATTACCGGTGAATATTCTTGATTGATTTGTCTGCTGCTCAACAATTGCTTCCTCTGTTGTTGCTGTGTTTTCTTTGCTGTCGACAATTGTGAAATTGGTGAAATCGTCATAGTTTTCTTTCAACTGGTTCTTTATGATTTCTTGTTAATTGATATGGTAATCTTGTGATGTTGGGGATTTGCTCATGTTTGGTTCTGACTTCCGGTGAGATTTTTCATCTTCTAGCTCTGAACCGGGGTTGTTGAATGCTGATCGCCATTGCTACAGATTTGGGTTGTAAGTTGGTTTTCTTCTAAACTGATTTAGTTATAAATGTGTTGGATACACACTTGTTTTAGTCATAACTTTTGTGGTTCTCTATCCTAATTATAACAAATTGATCAAGTTTTGATCTGCAAATCGTAACTTGGTGTTTGGCTATGTTGGAGTTTAGTGGAAAGAGTTTGCTGATATATTTGGTGCCAATAAGAATAAAAGTTCCCAAAATTGATAATTTGGAACGGTGAAGGAAGAATAGAAAAGAAAATATTGGATCGTCGACTGGTGATAATGGTGATTTTATGCAAGCCAATGTTGATCATCGGAGCATAGAAGGCTATGATACAAAGAATAGTGCTACTTTTTTTTTAAGTATAAGATTCGTTTTCAATTTAGTTCGGATTGATATTTGATCGCTTTGCCTCTCTACTGCACATGGTTTGTTCTCTCATATTTTTTGAGTTTGACTTCAAGAGATTGGTTGAGACTTGTGTTCTGCCTAAATATATGAACGTTAGTTTCTCAAAACTGTTGATGCTTAAGTCAGAATTGATGCTTAAGTCTGTTTTCGTCCACAAGTTAAACATGGAACTTGATGCTTAACAACCAAGTATCCATTGTGAAGAGAAAATTCTAGGAAGTGTAGTGTTTAACAATTTAGCTTCATTAACCAGACAAAATAAGGTACTTTCTTGTTATAAGAGGCTTCAAATTGCATCCGAGAGTTTATAGCTTGACCAACTTATTTTCACTAAAAAGAAAGTCCCAGTAAGTGTTGAAGAAGGAAGACATTGGGGATGGAAAGAGAAGGTTAGAGAAGAAGGATGAATGATTGGAGATGAAGAACAATTTTTTGTTGTCTGCGACAATTTTAGGCTTATTAATCAATTAGCTTATAATGTCAGTGTAAAGTAGTTGTATTGAATCGTTAAAGTTATAGTAAACAGTGAAGAAATATATACACGTTAAGTCCTAGAATACAACACCCACTATAAAACTATCACATAAGAGAAATAATATATTCATTCCAATAAATTCAAATATTAGAGATAAGATAATGAAAGTCATTATCGCTTATCCCTAACACGCCCCCACAAGATGGAAGGATCCATCAGAGGCACCAATCTTGGACCGAAAAGAAATAAAAAACTTCTTGCCGAGAGGCTTTATGAGTGCATCAACAAGTTGCACCGTGGATGGAACATGATGAACGTGCAAAGAACCAACAACAACCAAATCCCAAACAAAAAAGAAGTTAAGAGCAAGGTGCTTCATACGAGAGTGGAACACATGATTCTTACAAACATACGTAGCATTATGATTGTCACATAATGGGATAGGCGACGAAGCAAGCGATACACCAATCTCCTGAAGAAGATGTTGCACCCATAGAATTTTCAGTCGTGGCATGAGCAAGAGTTCGGTGTTCAGCTTTAGTAGACGAGCGTGAAACTGTTTTTGGCCGAGCAGACATCCAGGAAATGATATTGGAACCAAGGTAAAGGACATAAGCAGTAGTACACTTGCCATCAGTAAGAGAATCACCTCAATTAGCATCGGCAAAGGCGGTGAGAGGCAAAGGTGTGCGAGAATGAAGAAACAAGCCATGACACAAGGTACCCTTAAGGTATCTCAGAACACATTTAGCCGCTGCCCAACGAGGCTCTAAAGGACCATGCATGTACTTGGAAAGATGATTAACCAAAGGAGATATCCGGACGAGTGAGATTCAAGTATTGAAGTAACCTAAGTAAGCGAAGATAGGTAGACGCCTCAACAACAGAAGACAGATAAGCCGACGGTAGCTTATCAGAAGTAAACATCGGTGTAGAGACCGATTTTGCACCATCCATATGAAATTGAGAAATTTTTTTGGAGATATACCGAGCTTGAGACAAGAATAGACCTGTAGAAGTAGGAATAGCTTCAATGCAAAGGAAGTAACTGAGCGAACCCATATCCTTCAACGAAAATCGCTTAGCCAAGAGGAACACAACACGATCAAATGTAGCAGTGTTATTACTCGTAAGGATAATATCATCAACATATACCAAAAAATACATGTATATGCTATTAGATGCATAGATAAAGAGAGATGCATCCGCCTTAGATTTAAAGAAGCCACACCGTAAGAGAAAACTAGAAAGTTAAAGGTACCAAGCTCGTGGTGACTGCTTAAGACCACAGAAAGCCTTACGAAGTAGACACACATGCGACAGATGTGTAGGATCTTGGTAACCTGGTGGTTGATCTAAATAAACATCTTCATGCACCGTGCCATCAAGAAATGCGTTATTAATATCATGCTGATTAATAGGCCACACATGATGCAACACAAGCGTTGAAACAAGAGGCATTGTCAGTGGTTTCATAACCAGACTGAAGGTTTCAAAATAATCTCTACCAGCCTCTTAAGAGTAGCCTTTGGCCACAAGACAGGCCTTGTATCTGTCGATAGATCCATCAGGGTGATGTTTCACATAAAACATCCATTTGCAGCCAATAATGGGTTGCGCAGAACGTGGATCCAGATCCCATGTATGATTACGAAGCAGTGCTAAATACTCATCATCCATAGCAGCACGCCACAACGAGTCCTTCAAAGCTTGAGTAATAATGGTTTTAGGCTCCAATGTTTGTACTAAGAGATGATCTATGGTGACATTGACAAAGGATGAATCAAAATACTTTGGGTTAGTAAGAGAATTTTGAGCAAATGGTAATTTATGGCTTTTATTGATATAACAAGAAGAGCAACGAAACCGTTTTAATAAGGGAAAATCAACTTTCATATCACAATATAGAGGCAAAAATTTTTATTGGAAGGGTGGTCAAAACTATGATGTAACTGAGCAGGAGACAAAATAATGGTAGAATGAACTCGAGGAGACAGCTACAACTTTGGCACATAGTAAACACCACCAATGTTACTTCCCCGAAGAAGAGGAACACTCGTGTGTCGGTCCTTGAAAACAAAATAAGAAGAGAAAAATTCAATGGAAACAGAGTTAGTTTCACAGCTTGGACACAGAGATCAAATTGGTATGAAGATGAGGAACAAACAAGAAATTTTGACATAGTAGGAAGGACAATGTTACCAATGAGAGAGATAGGAAGAGTCTTACCATTACCCAGGTGAATCTCATCAGGACCATCATACGTAGAAAAGTCATTAAGAACTACAGGAGACATGGTAGTATGGTGGGAGGCACCACTGTCATTCATCCAAGGAGATGAAGTAGATGTCGTGTGCGCAACAGTGGGATTGAGAACAGGAGGTTCAGGATCACGCTGCTGATAAAATTTGTTATTATAAAGAAACCGGACAAGCTTCCAACAGTCGCGAATAATATGATTGGGAAAAATGCAAAATTTGCAAACAATATGGAGGACCGGGAATTTCTGCGATACAGATTGCGATTATTCCCCGAGTGATGACGTGGAGAATGACATCTCTTACCCCGAACATAGCACGAAGTGTGACTGGAGGAAGTAAATGCATTTTGGGTAACGTTAGCTGTAGCAAGTGATGGAAAAGATGAGTGATCATCATATTGGAGCGTTTGTTCATGATCCATTAAGATCTTAGAGATTTCAACCATGGTGGTTGTGGTGTTGCGAACATGGAGAGTAGCAACAATAGGACGATAATAATTCCCCAAATGATTAATAACAAATATAAGAAGATATGTATCCGAGATTGAACTGCCAACAAGAGCAAGACCAGCTGCAATATATTGCATATCCTTAAAATATGCAAGTATTGATAGAGAACCCCGTGGATTACGAGCAAGCTTTGACTTGAGAGCAAGAATACGATTAGGGGATGAACGCACATAGTTTTGCATA